ACTCATTGCTTTATTTCCAAGCACACAGGACTTCTTTTCATTTGTTACTGTTGTTTTTGGCCCAGAGAAAAAACATTTATTGATTTGTCATCTTCCTGAATTTGATCTTTTTTATATCTTTGTCTAAAAATTGAGTCTTTTTTCTTAACTTTAATTTTTAGCCATACGATGCCATGCAGGCATTTACCCTATATATTTCAACACTCATATGCTCTATAGCATGACATCAAACGTTTCTCTTAGTACTTCCTCTCCTGAGAAAGTTGTAATACAAAACAGATCACAGGTATCCACTGCCTGGAAAACTAAGGTATTTATACCTGACCTCATCCAGAAACTCTACAAGTAAGTGGAAACCATGGTACTCCCTGACAGTGACTATTTTATTCCCTAGTAATTATGATCCTTCTTTGAAAATCTTGCCTGGAGCTCAGATTGTTAAAACAAGTAATCCAAATGGCACTCCACCTGAAACGAGGCATTCGAGGATTTGTAGATTTGTGATGAACCACACCCTCTCTGGGCCCACAGATCTGCAAAGCTGTTCTGTGGCACTTCTCTTGTTTCCTAGAAATGCAAATAATCCAACCACGTGCAGGAACACTCTGCTGGCCCATTCTACTTACACTAGAGAACTTGCTCAATATTGGTTTACTTCCATAATCAATCCAATTCCATATTTTCAAACCGCATGTGGAAATCAAATTAGTGTGTTGTAAATAGCATTTTTAAAAGTGAAGGAAAATAAAATAATACGTGATGGAACCAAACCAAATTCGAAATAGAAAATATCAGAGTATATCACATACAACAGAGACAAGTACTAAACTATTAGTTTGTGAAACTTTTGTATGTGTGCATGCATGTGTGCCTGGGTGGTGGTGTAAAAGGTGTTTCTTATTGTGGACTTTAGTAAAAAATTGTTGAAAGTCACTGACTTGGTGTAATGGACATGAAGATTAGCCACCCAGATGTCCAGTTGCAAAAAGGCTGTCATCAAACACCTTCAGCTATCAGCCCCTTCAGGGTGGTCTCTGCTGTAGGCCCACCTCACACCTCAGTTAAGATCTCACCCTTCCTAGGGTGTCCCACATCCAACAATTGACATGAAAAAAAAAGACCAGGCTATTTTGTTCCAAACCAAGACAACTCTGACAGGACATTTTAGCAACATATCTTTCTACGGAGTCAACCAAGACTATTGAGATCTGCATAGCAATTCAATCTCTTCCTCTACCCAGTCCTGTTTCCTTCTTTCTTCTACAGATGTTAATCCCAAAACACTTCCTAATAAACATCCTGTACCCTAAACTTTGCTTTAGCATCTGCTACCGAGAGAACCCAACCTGTGATATCTAACTGATGAAGAAACAAGTTTTGTGGGTCAGGTCAGCTGAAAAATCCAAGCATATAAACAAGTATTTTCCTATAAAGTACAGTGCTCAATTTTTCAATGACACTGCACATTCAAAGGCTAACATTATAACCATTGAGGGGGACCAAAACCGTAAAGCTGCCTTTTGGTTTACTGATGTTAAGCTGGTTATTAAGAAATAAAACTCTTAAAGGAGAGATCTGAAAGGCCTACTCCAGGAAGAAAAGCTTAGGGTGTTGCCCTTATCCTGATTTGAAGTAAATATGGTGAGTGGGAGAGCAGGGGCCTGTTTACTAGCTCACCCCCTGTGTTCTACGGAAGGAAGCGTTTACCTGAGATGTGTGTGTGTGTTCCATTCTTCCCCAGTTACCTGTAAATTGCCCATTCTCACTTTTGGAAGCTTAGGCCCCCCTACCCGCTTTATTCTTTGTCCAAAATAACATATATACCCGGTGTTACCTCACTTTGGGGATTTTTATGTTTATGTTATATTCCCCATGTACACATATTAAAATTTCATTTTCTCCTATTAATCTGTCTCTATTAATTTGATTAGCCCAGCTAGAAGAATTTGGGAGTTGGGAGGAAAAGTTTTATTTTATTATTATTTTTTTTTTAGTCCCCATACCATCCACTATTTACTCTATTGGCTACTGATGTATGTGATGAAAATGAGCACACCCATTCCTTAACAGTGATTAATGGTTATCATTTTTTCCTTAACTTGCACAGCTGTCCTATCTCAAAAGAAGAATTCTGAAGTGGCTGTAAATGGTGCTTTATTTTCCTGCCAGTTCTACTTGCATTCATCCCATCTTAGAAGCTCTTTGGTTATTCTGCTTATTCTTTGTCTTACAAATATGCTCACAACAATGCAGCTGAGAAACAGTGACAAAACCATTAATGCCATGAACTTGGGGGATGGAGGAAGAGAGCAAGGTGGGAACAGAGGATATTAGTAATGAATCTTACAATTTATTTGTGTTAAGTACTATCCAAGGAGAAATGTTGAGAACATTGTTTAATAACAGGGCTGGGTTTTCTGGGGCAATCAAATAAAATTCACATAGCAGGTGAATTATTCTCATGGAAGATTAGTTGTTTTCTAGAATATAAATATTGGCAACATAGCCTGACTCGATCATTCTCAGTGACTAATTTGGTTAGTGAAAAAGAGAAATGTATATATTGATTTTGGTTCTTTTCTTTACTTATTTTTAAATTAAAGTATTCAGGAGTTACCCTGCTGTCACATGGGATATTTCTAACATCTTGATTCAACTTTAACACTATTTTATTTTCTTCCTCAAATACATTTTGAATATGTGTCCTCTAGACAGGAACCAATAGTGGTCAGTGGGTCAAATGTAAGGGGGGAAATTTTTTAACAAAAGATGGAGAAAGTAAAAAAAATTAAGTAAAAAAATCTCCAAGTTAGGATGTTAGGAAAGTACATGTAAACTTGACAAAAATATGCATTTTGCTCTTAATATTTGACTCAAATATAATCATTGTATAAATTCCAGCAAAGCTTGGCATGTTCAGAGTTCTTTCTATTTTTTTTTCCTAGAAAAATCATGGTCATTTACTGCAGTCTTTTCTTTTTTTTTTAAGTAAGTATGGTTAAATAAATAGTCTGATAAGTCGCAGTAAATCTGTTGTGCTTTCAATAAAATGAGGTTTATTTTCTTGCATTCCTGGAGTACATTCAGAGAGGAGATGGAACATCAGGGGTTTCAACGGGGGGAATGGAGTACTAAGCTTTGACCTAGGCCCACAGCCACAATATGAGTGAATTAGAGGAAACAGCTGCAGCCTAACATCTCTCAATGAAGTGATGCAGGGATTCCGTGTGACCTGGAGCTCACAGTGTCTCCATGGTCAGCCAGATTTCTTTGTTTCTCATGCATTTTCTATGCTGGGAATGTTGTCCCAGACCTACCACTCCACTTTAGGAGTGCAGGGATGTGGCTGCCTGAACTGGTGACACCAAAATAGGGCCTCCATCTGCCTTTTCTTTCATGCCATCAATAACGCTGTCATCCAATATAATAAAAGGTTAATATGCAAATCGACCAAATGTCGGAACAACCGGTCACTATGACGCGCACTGACCATCAGGGGGCAGACGTTCAACGCAGGAGCTGCCCCCTGGTGATCAGTGCGTTCCTACATGGGGACCGCCACTCAGCCAGAAGCCAGGCTCACAGCTGGAGAATGCAGTGGTGATGGCGGGAGCCTCTCCTGCCTCCATGGCAGCACTAAGGATGTCTGACTGCCGGCTTAGGCCCGCTCCCCACAAGGATGTCTGACTGCTGGCTCAGGCCCACTTCCTCTGGGGAGCAGCAGCTGGACATCCCCTGAGGGCTCCCAGACTGCAAGAGGGTGCAGGCCAGGCTGAGGGAGCCCCCTCCCCCACCCCCACAAGTGCACGAATTTCATGCACTGGGCCTCTAGTCTATAATAAAATGACTGAAGAGGCACACAGACAGGTTGGGGATTGAAGGAAGATCCTTCAAAGATTCAGTTGCAAATGCAGCTGTAGACTAATTTATAAGGCTGAACAGGCTCTAGAAGGCAGTTCTCATTGGAAACCCGGACCTTGTGTGCCTGCTCTCATTGAGAATGAGAAAGAAGTGGAGAATTTTAACAGGATTAGACTGAAGCCATATTCATACCGTCTCCTGCCCCTGTCATAGCTGGAGGAATCACATTGTTCCAGATGAAGGACAATGAGTGATCTCCATTGTGTTTAAAGTCTGACCTCTGTGCCAGACACACAATTTCAGGCTTTTATCAGTGAGACTTTTATCACGCGATCTTTCTGTTTACTTGAGGACTTGGATTCAACAAAGCAACCGACAAGATTGAACATAATCTATTTCTGCAGCTGGACGCTTACACTGAGGACGAGACGTCACGTTCTCACAGTGTCCTTCTGCCACTCAATGTTTTCACAGTTGAGTTTCAGAGGCTGGTAGGCTACTGCTGCCACTTCCTTCAAAGTACAAATTTCAAGTCATTCCACCTACCAAGTGGGAAATGTCTAGGATCCTTGTTTTGACACCTGTAGATACTCAAAATAAATACAAAAAGAATGAGACTATCTAAGAACAAAACAAAACTTAAAGAATTTAGTTATGTGAACTCTAATCATACTATCTGACATAAATGATGATGTCCTGTCAATAAGTGGTAAGACAGTCACACACTGGCAGCAATGAAAGGCAACATTCTAGACTCAGACAAACTACAAATAACAAATATTTTCTGCCGTGATTTCACCTTGAGACAATTTGGCACAGGTACTGGTGTAGAGTTATCGTCCTGGCTTTGGTTACATATAGGCCATAATATCTAGATTCCATCCCTCAGAGCAGTGATTTTTTTTTAAGTAGTTTCCAAACAGTTTAAATTAACCATCCTCTCCCAGAGAGAAGAGCTTACCCTTCTCTAATTATACGAACTGATTGTGAACTGTGAAGGTAAATGATGTTAATTGCTGGGCAGACAGAATAAAGGAGGCAGAAGAAAAGCCTTTTTTCTTTGACCCTTTCATCCCTCATTAGTCACTTTCCTGTGAATTCTATAGTTTGCTTCTCAAAAGAAATGTGTGATTTCTTACTTTTCCACTTTTTCTAAATAGTAAGCACAATCCAGGCTGGCTCATTCCCATTCTCTGTACTCTTAAAAAAAAAAAAAAAAAAAAAAAAAGAGAGAGAGAGAGTGAACCATCTCAATAATGTTAGAACAGTTTCTTCACATAGTATAATAATAATACATGGTTGGGCAAAAATGGTTTTACAGCTGTGAGTATGTACAAAACACAGAATGAATAAAGCTATTGTAATCATCAAGACCTGCATGTCTTTTTTCATATGAACAACTGTACATCTACGTTTGCCTGACCTGTATTCCTTAGCTCTGGAAAAGTACTATGAAAGAGTGTATTTTTCTCTATTAATACATCACAAATTATCCCAATCTTTACAATGCAAAACAATAAACATTTATTCACCTCACACATTTTCCGAGGGTCAGGATGGAAGTGGCACACCTGAGTGGTTCCAGCTCAGGGTCTGTTAGGAGGTTGCAGGCAAGACCTAGAACAAGGTTGCAGTCATCTCAAGGCACCACGGCAGCTGAAGAATCCATTTCCAAGGTTTATACGGCCTTTGGCAGGAGGCCTGAGCAGCTCACCACAGGCACCTCTCCACAGGGCTGTTTGAGTGTCCTCATGACATGGAAGCTGATTTCTCCTAGGATAAGAGCACGGGCATGGACAATGCCTTCAGATCTAGTCCTGAGAGTCGCATGCCATCATTTGTGCAATATTCTCTCTTTATTAGAAGCAAGTTAGTTAGGCCAACCCACTAACTAAAGTCTTGCCTTTTCTGACTTCTAGGAATCTTGTGTTCAACCTTTGGAATTTGTGGACATATTTTAAAATTATCACACAGGGGAAACCTATGTGAAGTTCACTTATCTCAGCAATCTCATATACAATATCTGGAATCTCCATCCAAAAAGTAGATGAAGCCCTAGCAGGTTTGAGCATCAGACTGCAGACCTGGGTTTGATTCCAGTCAAGGGCACAAGCCCAAGTTGTGGGCTCGATCCCCAGTAGGGGTCATGTAAGAGGCAATCAATCAATGATTCTCTCTCATCGCTGATGTTTCTATCTCTCTCTCCCTCTCCCTTCCTCTCTGAAATCAATAAAAGTTAACAAAATAAAAAGTTCAAAAAGTAGATGAATAATTCTCCATTAAAAAGAAGGAAATTCTACCAGATGCAACAGTAATGGATGAACCTTGAGAATATTATGCTCAGTGAAATAAGCCAGTCACAGGAGGACAATTACTGCATGATTCCACTTATATCAGTAGTCTAAGTCAAACAGTTAAGTCATAGAAGCAGAAGGCAGAATTGTGGTTGCCAGGGGCTAAGGTAGAGGGAAATGCAAAGGGTATAAAGTTTCAGTTATGTAAGATGAATAAGTTCTAGAAATCTGTATACCACTGTGCTCATAGTTAACAATATCCTAGTGTACACTCAAAATTTTGTTAAGCAGGTAGATCTTATGCTATGTGTTCTTACCAAATATAATTAATTAATTTTTTAAAAAGGGTATGATTCATAATAAAGAGTTACTCCATGTGGTTTTCTGGTGGCTAAATATAGCTATAGGTAACTTGTTACATATGCTAGCACTTCCAGATGATTAAAAATTTTTTTAAAGTTTTTCATTAAAACTATTCACTGAACCTTCTAATTATAAAAATTAGTAGGAAGATTTTCTAATGAAAATTGCATCATACAGTCATTTTTATGATACATTTTTATGTATTAGTTTCCTATTGCTGTTATAACAAATTACCAAAAACTTAATGGCTTAAAACAACAATCATTATTTTACAATCCCCAAAATCAGAAGCATAAAATAGGTCCAAGCACTGTGCTCCTTCTGGAGGCTTTAGGTGATCATCTGTTTTCTTGCCTTTTCTGGTTTCTAGGGTCCAACTATATTCCTTGTCTTGTGACCCTTTCCTCCACTTTCAAAGCCTCTTCTCTCCTCTAACCTGCCTCCCTCTGATGAGGATCCAGTGATTACATCAGGATAATCCAGGTAATCCTGGAAAATATGTCTATCTCAAGATCTTTAACTTAATCACATCTGCGAATTTTCTTTTGCCCTGCAAGGTAACATATTCACAGATTCCAGGGATTAGAGCATGGGCAACTCTGTGGAGCCATTATTCTGTATATCATAACATATTTTAGGAGCATGTCAGAGTTCACTTAAACTATGGAAAATACCCTGACAGACGTATCACATATGAAGAAGGCTTAAATTCATCTGACCTATCTGTTCACACACAACTAGTGACCAAAATGACTGATTTTGTGTGCCAATATCCCATTTTCCAAAATCAAGCTTGAAGAGGCCAGCAAGTCACACCTGCTTTCAATACTTGCAGTTAACATCTTAGATAAACTAGAATGAAAGCCTGAGATATGTGCAAATAATCTCTGGAAACATCAGTTTCTTTCACCAGTGGCTTCAATCCCACACTCTTATCTCAATCACCCCACAAATGATGAAGAAATGCAAACTGCATTGAGAAATGTCCATTTTGAAATACATGAAGTTTGACACAGAAACTCTCATCAAGTTCTTTTGAGACTGGAAAACAGCTTTCCATAAAGATAGAATCACAGCACTTATAGAGTGTGATGGAACCTAGAAAATCTAAAAATAAGACAGTTATTCTCCACTCTCCATGCCCACCCCACAACCTTCAATTTATATATGAAGATTCAAAGGATCAAAGGGTTTAATATGCTTTTAACCTCTTAGGAAAGCTGGAGGCCAGGTCTCTGATTCCTGACCCAGTGGATTTTTTACTTTATCACATAACCTTCAAATGCCCAGATTTATTCCTTGTTTTTTAAAAAAATTCAATGTGTGTGAAGGCTGTATACGGTGTGGGGCAATGGTGGGAAAGGCTGCCACGTATAGAGGACGTGCAGAATTCTATAATAGACACAATTAAATATATTATTTGTCAATATTTTCTCAAAAGGGTAGGAAGCATTACCCCTGCTTTTAAAATTAAAAAATGACGTAACAGCCCCAGCTTGTAGCTCAGTTGGTTAGAGTGTCATCCCAATACACCAAGGTTGCAGGTTCAATCTCTGACCAGGGCACATACAAGAATCAAGCAATGCATAAATAACAATAAATCCATGTTTCTCTCTCTTTTCCTCTCTCTCTAAAATCAATTTTTAAAAAATTTAAAGAAATTGTACTATACCATTTTAAAAAACAAAATGAGATAACATATTTTTAGGAAGGTAAGTAAACCCGATCATAGCAGGAATGCTAGGCTCTGGCCTAAATCTCTCCTTTTAACAACAAAGCTCATGAATAAATTCTCACTACATTTCTGAAGAAAGAATAAAGAAATATACAAGTTGAATAACCAATTTCAAAATGTCTGTGATAAAACATTATGAGAAGAGATTCCTACCAATTCCATGCACTAAGAATTACAAAACCACGCACACAGTGTTAATAGATTCTTTGTTAATTCAACAAACACCCACTGAGTATTAATTATGTACCAGGTGCTAACTCTATAAGATGTGAAAAAGCTAAATTAGGTGCCACCCTTATTTAATAAGTGAATCATAAAATTTCAGGTAGTGACACCAAACATGTTTTTAAAATCATAATTTCAGCCCAGCCAGCATGGCTCAGTGGTTTAGTGTCAACCTATGAACCCGGAGGTCACGGTTCGATTCCCAGTTGCCGCAACCTTTTGTGGTGGGGGTTCAGGATCTGAAGAAGGGACCAATGCACAAATGAAAACACTAGACAAGAAATATGAATTTAGAAGGCATGGGAGGCCAGGTGGAGACCTCTCTCTTGGAGAGGCACACTGAAACCTGGCCTTGTCTGCTTTTTATTCAATTTTAGACACACATCTTGCCCTCAATAAAGCACGGCAAACAGGTAGCAAAGAGACCGTCTCTGAGGTCAATAAAGATCAGTAAAGATCAGTAAGGTTCAGTAAACATTTACTTTGAGGCTATTAGGTCAGGAAATTGCTTCGAGCCACCACTATCTCAACAGAACAATGATGCTTGACATTAGCCCTGCTAACGCCCAAGGTCCATCAGCCTTCCGCATTCCTTGATGCACTCTCATGATAGTATGGGCAGTGGGTGACTTCCTGCACCTGGTCAGGGCACATGCCTGGGTTGCGGGCTCAATCCCCAGTGTGGGTCATGCAGGAGGCAGCTGATTGATGACTCTCTCATCATTGATGTTTCTATCTCTCTCTCTCCCTCTCCATTCCTCTCTAAAATCAATAAAAATATATATATTTAAAAACCATATAATTTCAGCAGAGTAGAAAGGGAACAGAGTTTTAGAGGAAAAATCTCTCAATAAGGTGACATTTGAGAAACAACCTAATGATGTGATGGAGATAAATAAGAAAAGGCTTTGGCAAAGAGTGTGTTAGGCAGTGGGGAAGGCACTGCAAAGACTCAGATAAGGGCAAACTTTGCCCTGCATTAAGGCAGCAAGAAATCCGACATGAGCTAAGGCCAAGTGGGCCAGAGCAGGACATTAGGCAAGGTCTTGCTCATGTATGGCCTTGTAGGTCACTGAATATATTTTGGCTTTTACCCCGAATATGATGAAGAGACTAGGTTTCAATTATAAATAGACTGAAATCTGCTATATGAAGAACACAGTGAAAAAGACTGATATACACAGGTCTTTGTAGCACAAATTGGAACTACTTAATCTGGCAAAAGGACTTGGTCAAAGTACAGATGCCAATCACTGTTGTAGCCCTAAGGAATAACCCCAAAAATCTGAAACTAGACTAAATGTGAGGTGACCAAAAACAGTGCCAGGGTGGTTTTGTCATTCCCTACCCCTCCTTTTAGTAGCTTTCTATTTTATCATTTTCCCCTATTTGTTTAATCTGTAAATAAGTAAATATTAAAATTATAAAAGAACACAGGGAATACCAATCTCTGCTTCCTATCAAAGATTGAAACATTTTTCTTAGATCTTAAAGTAGAGTATAAGAATATTTTCTGGTTATGCACATAGCACAGCTGCATCTGGGCTGTTAGTTCATTAAATTCTAAGAACTAGAATCTTTTTCTATATAAAAGAAATTTAGGTGTTATTTTAAATAATTTTAAAATAAAACTTTATTTTATTTTAATTTTAAATAAACTTCAGGTATTATTTCAATAATATCAGTAATGCAGAGCTGATGTCATTGTGTTGTGGAGGAGAAAGAAGCTCTCCTCTATGGGAAACTTCCCTTTTGCTCAAAATAATCTCAGGCCACAGAGTCGCATGTAAGGGTCATTCATCCTGGACCCCTATAACATTAAGTCAGAAAGTAGTTTTTTTCCATGTAGTTTAAAATTTACTGTGTTGTAAATACAGTTATAATCTAAAACATTAAGTGATTCGATTAACGTGAAAAATACAATTATTTTCATGTCTTTTAAGTTTGGGTTCTCTAAAATTTCATAAGCTATATATAATAGTGTAATTTATAAGTGTAATAATGGTCAATATATATTGTCCAAAAAACAAATTGCTTTTAAAACATTCTTATTTTTTGTATTTCCTTTCAGGGATAAAACTCATATACCTACTTCCTGACTATTGTCAAATATGGTTTTATTCACCAAAGAAATATGTTTCCTATATCCTGAAAAACAATATGAAACAATTTATATGATAGAACACCTGTTTTCTTGCACAAAGAATATTAATATTTTCTTGTAAATTATTTTAACATCCCTCAGAAATGAGTCGCATTTATGATCATCTTAATTTTTTTTATCCTGATAAATTAGGGTTTAGAAAGGTTGGATGGTGTAGTTTTATTTGGTTTAAAACAAACACTATGTCCTCTACCTGTAGTTGATCTAAAAGGACCAGAGAGGCCCTGATTTGGCTCAGCATCGGCCCTGGGCTGAAGGGTTTGATTCTGGTCAAGGGCATATGCCCAGCTTGTGGACTCAATCTCCAGTAGAGAGCAACTGATCAATGATTCTCTCTCTTATCATTGATGTCTCTATCTCTCTCTTCCTCTCCCTTCCTCTCTGAAATCAATAAAAATATTTTAAAAATTAATTAAAATAAAAGGACTAGATATAATCCTCTACTTGCCACAAATAAGCCTTTCAACTCACAAATTACTTTGAAGTGAGCAGAGGTCCAGGATGGGTGGATGATAAAGACTTCGTATGGGATTATGATTCCTAATGTACCTTTGAAGGTAACTAAATTTATAGTGTATCTGATAAACATACACTCTGTTGGCTCTCATGAGAGAGTTGCATTACTTTTTAGATACAGAAATACTTGTATTCATGTTTACCACGATTATCCATGTTGTTCAAGCACCTGATTAACTTGTATCTAATACTTGATTTACTAGAAATAACTAAGAGTACTTTTTTCCCCTTTGTTCCAAGTACAGTCTCACAGACTACTAAATCCTATTGAATTACTTTTCAATAATGCCTACTTTTCACTAGATCTCATGGAAAAGTAATTGACTACAATCTTGTTTCTTAAATTTACTTGGTCTAATAAGGAGCAACAGAGTTTGGAACAGAATTTAAAGATAGGGGTTTGGGGCAGATTCAAAGGGAATCCTTTTTCTTGCTCCCATGGTTGTTATCAGTGTAAACCATCCTTTTATTTTGGTAGTTGACAAAATTTATTGTTCTTGGGGTCCAGAACAAGCCACCCCGAGATGTACATCAGTGGTTTGCAGATTACTTTGAGCTAGAGGTGATTTTAGCTTCAGGCTTAAGAGAAACTTCTTTCTCTCTAACTATTCAGAAGAATTTGAATTAAAGGCCTTGCCTACAAGAGACTATAAGAAATAATTTCTTCTGGCTTTTCTATAGGCCAGAACAAACTATTTTTTAAAATATATTTTTATTGATTTCAGCCGAAACCGGTTTGGCTCAGTGGATAGAGCGTCGGCCTGCGGACTAAGAGGTCCCAGGTTCGATTCCTGTCAAGGGCATGTACCTGGGTTGCGAGCGCATCCCCAGTGGGGGGTGTGCAGGAGGCGGCTGATCGATGTTTCTCTCTCATCGATGTTTCTGACTCTCTATCTCTCTCCCTTCCTCTCTGTAAAAAATCAATAAAATATATTAAAAATATATATATATTTTTTTTTATTGATTTCAGAGAGGAAGGGAGAGGGAAAGAAAATCGTTGATTGGCTGCCTCCTGCACGCCCCCTGCTGGGGATCGAGTTGGCAACCCTGGCATGTGCCCTGACCATGAATTGAACCCTGACCTTCTGGTTCATAGATCGATGCTCAACCACTGAGCCAGCCATTTAATTTATTAATTACTAATGTCTGTTCTTCTTACCCTTCAATGACCTCTTGAAGCCCCCAAGACACCCCACCTCATCCCAAGCCCAGGATGTCTTATATACTTCAATCCCCCTTTCTATCTCTGAACCTCAAATGTATGCAGGGTTTCCGATTCTCTCATGTATGTGGGCTTCCTGTGGGCAAAAGATTAAATGTGATTTTCTCTAGTCATTCTGCCTCCTGTTGATTTGACAATTTGGCCAGCCATAAAGAAGCAGAGGAAAGGGGAATTTTCCCTCTTCCTCACACTATGCTGAAGCACATATGTGTGTATGTAAGTACAAAGAATACAGGAAAAAAGGAAAGAAGAAAAAAATGCTATCATTTCCTCAAGACTGGCTTGGACACAATTCTATCTATCTCCAAACTCACTCAGGAATCAGGAAGCAAAAAGTATTGTTTTTCATAGACAAGAAGAGGGGAATGTGTATCCTACAGAAATGGACCAAAGTATTCCTTGAATTTGATTCCAAAAGACTGACAGAAATCAATAATTTTTAGGCTTCTGTGTAGCTTCATGTAATAGAAACATAACTATAGTGGCTTAAGCAAGTAAAGTTTACATTTTCACATAACAGGAAATTCTAAAGTGGGAAATTTAGGGCCAGTGCATTAACTCCATGATCCTTCAAGAAACCAGACTCCTTCTTCTCTTCTGCTCTGCCATTTTTTTAAATATATTTTTATTGATTTCAGAGAGGAAGGGAGAGGGAGAGATAGAAACATCAAACATAAGAGAGAATCATTGATTAGCTGCCTTCTGCACGCCCCCTACTGGGGATCAAGCCTGCAACCAGGGCACATACCCTTGACGGGAAACGAACCTAGGACCCTTCAGGCCGCAGGCTCTATCCACTGAGCCAAACCGGCTAGGGCTGCTCTGCCATTTTTAACGAACTATAGAAACAATCCCTGAAAATGCAGTATTTGCTATATTTGCTACTTTTAATATGCGCCTCTCCTGCAGACACAGCAGAAGCTCTGAAAACCAAGTAAAATTTACTCCTTTAAAAGAGACACTTATATTTATAAGGGGCATCTTCATTTGTAAAGGTGTCTCCCTCAGTACAAAGAGGAGGTTTATCAAATCTTTAGAAACGTTTAGGAGTGGAAAAGGCACCAACTTAAACCCCCATAACAACTACCCTTGTTTACTGTGCTTTTCCTGGTGGCCTCCCATAACTGGCCTCCCTTCCGCCAACAGCTTTCTTTGGTCTTTAGCTGGAGATGGACTTTAAGATGGTGGCATGGGCCATTTCAGGGAGGTGCTCAACTTCCTGGGTATCTCCCATGTTCACAGAGGCACATATGTGTGTTTTCCTCCTGTTAACCTGTCTTTTATTACAGGAGGGTCTCAGCCAAGAACCTAGAAGAGTATCGGGGAAATTACTTTTCCTCCTTCACAACAGATCTATAGATAGACAGACAGATACATACATTCTATTTGTTCTGTTTCTCTGGATAACTCTGACCGATACACCAACCAAGTCGAAAGGCTGAAGAAAAAAATTTGATTGAAGAAGTTTAAGAGTATATCTATAAACTAATTGGGAAATATGCAGGTTAGACTGATGTACTCTGCATGTTAAAATAAAGAGATGATAATAAGCTAATAACCAGCTAATAACCAGTTTTTTCCACTGAATGCAAACTTTTTCTTCAAATCCTCCTTTACAATAGCAGCTGCTGACGAATTTAGAGGTACGCTTGTTTTTAATCTGTACTTGTTTTATAGTCTAGACATAATAGATGCTTCAAAATACCTGACTTTGAATCATTACTTGTATTGTACTAACCTTTTCACTTCACCAAAATTGGGTTTGTAAACTTCTGTACACAATTAATTTACTTGTGGAAGTCAGAATGTCTCAGAGGAGTTCAGTGAAGTTGAGTAAAATCAGAATCTAAAGTGTGATGGCAATTTTAAAAAGTGTATATCAATGCAACCACGTGTACACATTTTCTAATATTTTGCTAGACCTTGAACTTAAAGAGAGTATACTTTTTTTTTCTAAAATACAAATTTCCAACACCAGTAATGTGTTAATTTCCCTTTACCTAAAAATGTGTCTATAGTGACAGCTTTAGCTTTATCAATATTTTCAAGAGACTTCATGGGCATGGGTGTGGTTCAAGAACCTGTAGTCCTTTGATTAAAAACACACACAAACATGTTCTAAGTAAAGGCAAAAACCAAAACAAACATAGAAACCTGTTTATTAAAAAGAAAATAAATCTCTGTGAATTCAACTAGTATTAGTTTCTCTTAAAATTCAAAACAGGAAATCTAGATTTACCAATATATTAGACCAAATTTATATTCAGAATAAAACATGTTAAACTATAAAAGAATAGAACAAAAATAGAAGAAATGAAGAAAAATGAGTACACAGTAAGGATTAGATATTTTTAAATATATTTTCTTTAGAAACAAAGTATACACTACACCTAAAACCTATATGTTCATGTTAACCAATGTCACCCCAATTAATTTAATAAATTAAAAAAAATAACGAGTGTGCAAAAGAAAATTAGAGTATTTCTTTTTGTTCTTGTTACAGACAGAAACTTATGTGAACTGTGCCCACAATTTTTGTTGTTTTTGTTTTTTCCTTAGGTCATGTAGACCCTGTTACTTACAGAAAACAGCCTGCCTTACCCCGTGTGTGGTGTTTTCTTCCTGATGTATCAGCACTGCCTTCCCCCTGCCTGGCCACATTCATATGCTAGAAATAACCTAGACCAGTGATGGCGAACCTATGACACACGTGTCAGAGGTGACACGCTAACTCATTTTTGGTTGATTTTTCTTTGTTAAATGGCATTTAAATATATAAAATAAATATCAAAAATGTAAGTCTTTGTTGTACTATCGTAGCAAATATCAAAAAATTCCTATATGTGACACGGCACCAGAGTTAAGTTAGGGTTTTTCAAAATGCTGACACGCCGAGCTCAAAAGGTTCGCCATCACTGACCTAGAATGAATGTTTTGTAAAGTGACTGGGATACCCTTAAAATTGAAACTCAGATATGCAAGTCAACACATGTTGATGCACAAGACTTGGGAATCTTTTTCTCCCCAGATGCTCACCCTTTGCTCCAAGCCCAAGCCAGAAGGCCCTAGGTTTTTTCTTTAAAAGATTGGGGTAGACAGCTACTCATTAAAGGATGAGGAGAAGAGAAAAGAGGAGGGTGACAAAGGAGTAGATCTTAAACAATGAGTATTTCACAACAGAGAAAGAGCAGTGGGCAAGGCAGGAGCAACACAGGGATGCTGAAGGACTGGATCCTGTTTTCCTACCTTGCTGCTAGGTGTGCCAATTTGGGGAATATATGCTGTTTTCCTACCCTTTGTAATCTTACTGGGAGGGATTACAACCATTTATAAAACAACTAGAGGCCCAGTGCACAAAATTCATGTACTCAGGGGTCCCTCAGCCCGACCTGTACCCTCTCGCAGTCTGGGAGCCCCCGGGGAATATCCATCAGTGGGACATCCTTAGTGCTGCCACAGAGGCGGGAGAGGCTCCTGCCACCACTGTTGCACTCACCAGCCGTGAGCCTGGCTTGTGGCTGAGCGGTACTCCCCCTGTGGGAGTGCACTGACCACCAAGGGGCAGCTCCTGCATTGAGCCCCCTGATGGTCAGTGCACATCATAGCGAGCGGTTGAGCGGCCTTAGCATATCATTAGCATGTTACACTTTGATTGGCTGAACGGATGACTGGATGACCTGACACTTAGCATATTAGGCGTTCATTATATAGGTTTGGTCTATCCCATTCCCAGATTCAATCTTCCTTCCAAACCCTTGCCAGATCTCCCAAGGTGAAACCTAAATTCTGTCTATCCAGCCCAGTTTTAATGATGTCTCCCTTTTTTTCCATGTCTATAAAATGATGGGTTTAAAAAAAATACAGTAAATAGGTGACATTTGGGAGAAAGAGGACTGTACTTGGAAATGTAACATGTGGGTAGATGTACGAGGTCTGCCAATCAGAAGCTGTGCAACTTGCAGCATATAATTTTTGTGGTGTTGTGCTTTAGAATGAAGTAGAGGAAAGAAATGTTCAATAAGAATGGGTCAGTCTTATCTCAACCTCAGTTTGCTCATCTGTAAAATGTGATAAAATTTCCTAACTCTGGGGCGAAGAGAGGGTGGCTGAGGGTGTTAGGAGATGAGATTATGTATGGGAAACACCAACATAGTTTTGGCACGTCCTACTTCAGAAAGTGATTTCTTCTCCCTTTCCCTTTCTGAGAGGCTTGCATGTTGGTGCTGGGAAGCCAGACTTCTCCCGCGTCTGTGGATGCCATGATTAGTAATCCAAGCCCCCCACCTTGGTGGATTATACATTCTAGGAACTGTAGGTTTACCTGGAGGAGTAACTGAAATAACACATGGTAAACTGAGTTTTATATGTTATGTTTAAAAATTAAAATATCCTCTCTTAAGAATTCAGAAATTCAAATATAGAAAGCAGCAATTTTTTTTATGCAAGAAAATGCTATTCCTTGCATTTTTCATTATCTTATTTGACTAACTTAGTCTTCAGGCTATAATCCCAAATACACAGGCAAGTTTTGTTTTTTTTTAAATAAACAAGACAAAAAATCTAACGGAAGACATCTATTTTTGGCTTCCTGCTAAGCCATCCCTTGCTTGGCTGTAGTTATTCCAAAATTGGCCATGGTTTAGTTTGTACAGTTCTAAGAGGGGGGGAAATAAACTTGTATAATGGATTTCTAAGTATGCACTACTAAATGTAATTCATTTTTAATGCAAGTTTAAGTGAAGCAGGCCATGCAGATATTTATCACTAACCATTTATAAAACAATTGGTCTATCCCATTCCCAGCCTCAACCTGCTGCTGACCTTGCTCGGGGTCCTGACACCCCACAGAGGGTAAGACAACCCCCCCTCCTCACCTCCCGCCTGTCAGCCAGAGCCACCCATTGTCTGGCTGAGGGAGTCCTGGAAACCGGCCAGAGCTGTAGCCTGCGTGTGTGGTTTAGTTTTGTTTTGCTTTGAATGATCACACACTTTTTGACCTACACACAGACAGAAGTTTTCTTTTATTTATTTAAAAGAGAAACCCCAGAAAAATGAGTTCTAGATGATTGTCTAATGTTATAAGAAATAAATTTAGGCCGAAACCGGTTTGGCTCAGTGGACAGAGCGTCGGCTTGCGGACTGAAGGGTCCCAGGTTCGATTCCGGTCAAGGGCATGTACCTGGGTTGCGGGCACATCCCCAATGGGAGATGTGCAGGAGGCAGCTGATCGATGTTTCTCTCTCATCGATGTTTCTAACTATCTATCTCTCTCCTTTCCTCTCTGTAAAAAATCAATAAAATATATTTAAAAAAAAAAAAAAAAAAAGAAATAAATTTAGGTGAATGATTATCATAGAATAGCATGGCTAAAGAAGAAAGAAATAAAGAAAGGAGTCAAGCATGTCCAACTTATTGAAAGAAATCCTCAAACATATCACCAATATTAACTTCATGCATTGACACAAATTTAAAAAATTAAAAATCAGTTTGCTCTCCTGCCGGAAGCTACAGAGGAAAGAAAACCGTTTCCTTGGAGTAAGTCTGCAAGAGTTCAATGTTTTTCTTGGTGGTTAAGAAGAAAATCTGAAAATAAAAAGGCATATCATTTTGCCAACAATTATATTTCTAGACTTTCAAAAGTATTAGTGAACAGCGACTCTAAAATTAACGTGTATATAAAATTTAATCACATCAAAGAATTCACACAGAGGAAAGTCTCAGAAACAACCTCCTGCAGATGATGTCAGCGTGCAAAGAGGCGTGTGGAGAACCACTTGTTTTTTCGTAAACTCTAGTAAAAGGGTTCAGACAGGCGTAAGGCTGGATGTCAGGAAATGAGCTTAAGCAAAGGAAATGGGAGATGTCTGGTTCAGGGAATCAGAGGAGGGCTTCTCCCAGTGGGCACTTTTGTTTTGCTTTCCATGCTAAGTCAGGATACATGCGTTGCCTTCCACATGTACGAACCAGAAATCCCAAGGTGATAACATCTAGGAGGGCATTAGCCCCAAGCATTTTCAGGTGAAAGCTGTTCACTTGCAACCTCGTGCCAGCTTTTCTTGATTTGGGCTGAAACATGCAGGAAGAGGAAGGGAAAATGAACAACAGGCTGAGTGCTGATGTGATGTGTTTTTTTTACCAGATGGAAACTGAAGCTGGGACAATATTCCCTGGCCTGGGAACTTGGAATCAGGACGCTGAAAGGGCACATCGAGTCCTCTGCCAGAATGCTCACAGGCAGCCCAGTGCAGGGGGTGCGTGATGGTGTGCAAGTGGGTGGCTTAAACACCCCCATAATCTCATCCAAAATTAACATACAGCCTAATTTAAAACTGTTTGCTCAAATCTTCTGTACAAGTCCCATTACACTCCCACCACAACCACCAGAGAATGTTGTCTCTAACCCTTTCTATACAGAAATTTTGGAAATGTTTATAGGAA